GTAGTAGTTAGTAGTAGTTAGTAGTAGTAGTAGTAGTAGTAGTAGTACTACTAGTAGTAGTAGTAGTAGTAGTAGCTGTTGTTGTTGTTGCTGTTGCTGTTGTTATAGCAGGGGCAGCGGCAGCAGCAGTGGCAGTGGTGGTGGTGGTGGTGGTGGTGGTGATGGCGGTGGTGGTCGTGGTCGTGGCAGTGGTAGTTTTGGTAGTAGTGGGTAGCAGTCGCATGCAGTCGCACTGGTACACTTACCTGGTAGTTGTAGTAGTCCGGAAGTCTATTCAGGTGTTGCTGTTGCTACTCTCCTCCCCCACTTCCTGCGCCATTGTAGTACTTCCCTCCTTTAGGCGGGAAGAGGCCCGACAAGCCTGCATGGAGCTCGGGCCTCAGTAAAACTCTTCATGCGCAGACATAGATCTTCGAGCGCTCTGAGGTACGCAAACTGGGGTTTCACTCAAGAAGACTGTCTGCCTTGGCTAGAGGCATGCTGCGGGGCACCGTTATGGCAGAAGCTTCCAGTGCCTGACTTGGTAGGATGAGCGTATCCCTTCAGATTCTGCCAGGCAATAGACACACACTGCCCTCTGGTGTGTGGGGACTGTTGGGCGAATGGCTTACAAATCATGAACTGTCAGCTGGCGGAGCACCCTCACTGTGCTTGCCAAGGAACTTGGCCTGCGCTTGCGGCAGGAGTGCCGATTCCAGCTTCAGGCAAAAGCGCGCAAGTTGCAGTAGCTGGTTGACTCCGCCATTATATCTTTTCGAGGTGCTACAAAATCTACAAACACTGCACAGTGGATGGATCGATAGTACAAACAGCGCATGCCGACACAGAAGCTCCCTCGTGATGCAGGTCCTGAATGAGCCAGCCACTGCAGCGTTTCCTCCTTAGCAGAGTCCGGAATTTCTTCAGCATGACATGCCAAAGATACAGGGTAGAAAGACTCGCGCGCTCCATGGGGCGGCGAAGCCGAGCTAGGCACGTCCGTTGCAAGGATATGGTGCAATGAAACCGCCAACGACTTTATGAACAACCGATGTCGACCTGCATGTGAGGCACACACCCAGGATTGGGCTCAAAGGGGCACCTCTGTGAGATTCCAGCAAGCTTTGGCATGAGTGAGAGCTGCGCAGGTCAACGAAACCATGTGTGCCTCAGACGAGGCAGGAACGTCACCCATTATGTTCTACAGTGACTTCTTCTTCTCGGCACATCGCCAGATCAGTCCTCATCCTGTCATCATCTTTTTCCTCATCGACATCATCACCAGTGCCATCTCAACCACCGGAGTAGCACCGCCAGCAGATTCAACACAGCCTCGTGTGTCACCCCGATCATCAGCATCGTCATCATTGTCAATGGCAGCATCACCATCATCGGCACTGCATCGTGATGCATCGCCCTCGTGATGCTCAATTTGGTTTTGATCCAGGCACGCGAGTGCATGCGGACGTGCGGCAACTATAACACCTGCACGTGCCGAAAGCCGGAGCCTTTATCGCAGCAAATGTTTGCTGTCAGCCGTGGCAGATTGGACCTCTTGCCGCTTCTGCTGTGTCATATGATCGTGGCCAGCAGATCCTGTTCACGTCTCCAGACCAGAGGCTGCAGCTAAGGTTCAAAGGCAGCCAGCAACCCTCGTTTTGCGACGGCTTTACTTTCAGCGATGGCGTAGTCAACAGGAGGCACGATTGAAGCATGATATAGCAGCAGTCGAGAGCTCAAGCGAACTGAAGTAGACCTGCGGCAGGGACGATCTGTTCTATGACTGTGCCCTGACGCCACCATCATGCAAGCACACGGATGGTGTGACCTGCAATACCTATCGATATTGCACTCCCGACCTTTGCCTGATTGATGATGCCTCAGCCTCAGTTCTCTCAAGGTGTTCATAGGTGCCTTTTACATGGCATGACAGCATTTCGCACAAGATGCACTGTCTGTACTTTCAGAGTAGTCTGTGCTCGGAGCCATCTGACACCGGTTTATCAGGCATCGCGGGTTGGGACTTCTATTTTCCGCTTGCCCTGACAATGATTTATCCCTCTAAAGAAAGGCCCTCCCAAATTCGAGTCTCCGAAAATGCCGGACCCCGAGTAAGTGCAGACTCTCGGCTTATCAAGGATCCCCTTTGAACAACGGAGCCTTTTATTTAGACCTTGGGATTGCCGTGCATCCCCCTGACTACAACAAGGTGGACTGCTCACCAAGGCATCAGTGCGAGGCCGGGACCACAAACATGAATCGCAGGAATTACAGCGTCCTCATAGCCATCTTTGATTGCTGATATTTGCTAACTCTTAATCCTAGATCACCAGATCTTGGATCCTGCGCCCTTTGGCTTTGAGCGTGCTTGTCCGACCCGGAGCCCGGCTCAAAAATCAGAGCCACGCTTGGGACTGTCACTGGCCTTCCCCTGCCGTGGCTTGTCCTTCTTATCAGCGAAGCGAACACTCGAAGCTTGAGCCTTGGATCTCAAGCCCCTGGTCGGCGTTTAAGGCAGGGTTCTGCTTCTGAGGCCTCATGCGATAGTGCAGCGATGGCAGAAAGAAGAATTGATCCCGAGGATGGCAAGGTACGGTACCTGCCGCAGCTGGCAAAAAAACAGTCACAGAAAAAGACTCGTCTGTAAGCAGGCCAGAACTTTCGAAGAAGTTGTCAAGCGATATCAGTCCGCATGGGTCTCAGACATTGAGGTTTGACTTGTGCTACCTGGCATCATGAGGGTGAGAAGCTTCAGGAATACTCCCCACAGCAGGTTGCGGGCTCAATGCGTTAAGTGCTGCTTCAGTGTATAGTATGCGCCCTGCCCTTGCTGAGGTGAAGGACTACTGGGAGAGGCAATGCAAGCCGGTGAGACCCACAGCTTCTCCTGGCACCATGCCTGCCAGCGAGATTGCGGTAAGGTGCCAGCGGACCCCTTCTTGACACACCTGCAGAGTGGTCAGGGAGGGCCTGGACCCCAGTACATGGCTTCTCAAAAGCGGCCAGTGAGATCTGTCTTGAGACGTCAGGCCTCGTTATGGAACCCAGCCCGGCCTCTATATGCAGTCAGATCCCCAGATGCTTTCGAGTCTTGATCTGGTATAGCGGAATGCAGCTCGCGAGGTCAGATCAGGCCCCGACGGCCCCTGCATCACAGGCCAGAGCCCATAGCCGTAAGACGCTCTTCTCCTTCGAAGCGGTCTTTCCTTCACTGCAAAGTCCGAGATGCCAGGTGAACCTTGGGCAGGTGAAGCTATCGGAGGATCCCTTCATGGCTGCTGCCTTCGCCACGCAGGGTCCTGGACAGGCGCCAGGGGTCTTGGGCTAGTGTGTCGCTACTTAGATCAGGGCATCCACACCCATAGTCTCCGTTGGTGAAAATTACACTGCCCGAAACCCTAATCCCTAATCGAGAAGATACCAGAACCCTAAACCCCTAAACCTCAACCCTAAAGTTCACCTGCCACAAGAGGTCATTAGATGCGCAGGCGAAGTTGTTCCCCGGAACGAGGCCCCGCCGTACGCGCCGAGTGCAGATCTTCCTCCACCGCCTCATTTCACGGTGGCAGAGGTGCCCAGAAGACCCATCATTACGATTATTATTGCTATTATTATTATTACTATTATTATTACTATTATTATTACTATTATTATTACTATTATTGTTACTATTATTATTACTATTATTATTACGATTATTATTTCTATTATTATTACTATTATTACTATTATTATTATGCTCATTTTATATCTTATCACATGCTCTTGTGAGTTCTTATGATCGACAGAGGCAGGGTATGCAGGGTCTTGCGGTTGCAGGACCCTGCGCAAGATAAGCAGCCAGCGCACGGTGCTGAGAACCGGTCTCGCAGGAATACCCTGCCAGCTGTGCTATGCATTTGCTGCTGCCGAGGTATGAAGGAGCATACTCGTTCCTGGGCGCTGGCGATAAGGATCGACAACCTCGTGCGACAGGGGCTCAGGCTCACTTTCACATGGGTAGTTTTCCAGGTTAGGATCCCTTTTACGGTCCCTTTGAAAAGGGTGCCGTACTATTTTGGGAACCTAAAAAGGGACCCTAATTTACAGAACTACCCACATGCATCGGGGCTGGTGTATGTATGTATGCATGCATGCATGCTTGGAGGTGTGCGCAAGGTGTGTGTGTGTGTGTGCGCGTGTATGCATGCATGCATGCATGCATGCATGCATGGATGGATGGATGGATGGATGGATGGATGGATGTATGTATGTATGTAAGTATCTATGTATGTATGCATGCATGCATGCATGCAAGCATGCATGTATGTATGTATGTAGATAGACGTATTTTTCATGGTTATTTATGTAAGTGCAGACAGATCAGACAGACAAACAGACAGATGCATAGATGGGTCACTTAAATTCCAGATCCTGCTCTCTGTTCTGACAAAGACTCCCAGGCGAACGATCCTTGTCCTGGTTCCAGTCCTCATCTTCCTCTGGGTCAGCCCCTGAGCTGAGCGAAGATGCGACCCTAGATGTAGGCTTTGCTCAGGAGATGATTATTTGGTGCATGTTGGCTCACATCTCCATCAATGCCTGCTGGCTGCGCAGCGCCTACAGAAGCTGCTGCATGGGGATGACGTCCTTGCATGTTGTGCGCACCCATGGCACGCTGAAAGGATGACGGTGACACTCTCGGTGGTCTCTGCAAGTGCCGTGACAATGTGGTTCTACGGAATGCGTGCCTGCCCCGGACGAGCCCTTCCTGCCTACTCCTTGCGTGATTAGACGAACGGAAGTCTCTGAATGAAAATGGAGACTTCTCCGGAGACCACTAAGTTCAGCCTGTGCTTTCTCAGGTTGGGGCCCCGTGTCCCTGGCAGCTCTGGGTTTCCTTTGCATTGTTGCCATCGTCATGGGGACCCTTCTGGGACAGCAAGGTCGGGCTGTGCGAAGTCAAGTGCAGCGGTTTTTCAAGTGATTCAGCATCACAGTGCAGCATCCATCAGAGTGCTGGAGGATGGGATCAGCACTGGCGGCTCTTCTGGTGGATGAACATAGGGTGGCTCCCTCGACTCGCGGTGTCACGCGAAATGTGAGACATGCCAAGCCCATCAAGCACGTTTACGAACCCAGCTAAACTGCTGCTGTTAATAGACCGCAGGCAGCAGGAAGTTCCGCTGGGCCCTGAGATGCCGGAAAGCGTCTGAACTCGTACTTTCCGCTCAAAGTACCTACTTGTGTTTGCACAGATGCCTCATAGGACTGTCGCAGCGACACCAGCGGGAGCACGCTCTGCTTGCATCTCAGTGATGACGAGGGTGTCATGAAGCGTGCGGCGATCACTCTTTCCCTGAAAATATACACTGAATACTTACATGTCGCATGTTGGTTCAATTAAATCATGCATGAGTTTTGATATTATGAAAGTGTTTACTTGTTTCGTTACTGTTTACATAGAGTCATAACTTACACATACATGTGCTGTGCCGTAGAGACCTCTATAGTGTTGTGCTGCGATGCAGTGTTACTTGATGCTATCGTATTCTGTGCAGCATGTAGGCAATTATGTAAAAGTGTGTGAATCTGCGTGCAAGTATGTGCACAGGTGCATACACATATACCGGTGTACAGAAAACGAAGGACGCCGCCACATTGTCATTCCGAGGGGAAGCTTGGCTGCATTTGATTTTGCTTCACCGCAGGGTCTAATTTGGGATGCTCTTGTTCGGAAGCTGCGGCGCTAGGCTAAACTCCCATCACCGGCACTACGTCACTATAAGTCTATAGGTCCTATAGACCTTAATCCTTCGCATCTGCCAGGTCAACGGGACCTTCGACCACACCTCGGTGGATTCTAGCCGATCCGTTGGCTTCAAGGACGGAAGATGGTAGAAGTTCTTTGAAGTGTTCTGTTGCGACCAGGGCAGAGAAAGAAAATCCCTGAGGACACGCAGCTGTTCTGCGTAGCTCCGATTCTCAGTGGCCTCCTTACTGGCATTGGCACTTCGCACAGGCTGTTCCACATGCGGTGAAAGTGCTGTCAGGTCCAGACACGGCTGGCGCAGACTTCCCAAGAGTAAACTATTGGGCCGCGAGCACCTTAGAGTCCATGGAGGGATGGACCTGCTCATGAAGACATTGTAGCTCATGGCTAGCTTGTCTCAGCAAATGCAGCTGCCAACTGTTGCAGAATAAGTTCGAAAGAGCGTGGATTTGTTCACTTCATTGTCAGATTTACCATGCCTTCAGACTCAGGTTGGCATTGACTGCTGCAGCAAGCCAGACTCTCGATGCCAACCTCAGATCCACAGGGGCTGTTCCGAGAGCTTCAACCATCTTTAGGGCTTGCTGCAGGAAACGCGCGTGGGTGTGTGTGTGTGTGTGTGGCTGCACGTCTGTAACTCTGTTTCTATTTGTGTGCAGACACCTTCTTGTTCCAAAGCTCAAGCGCGAGGCGTGGGAGGGTGCTGGTTTGCTGTTGATCGGATCGCAGCCGAGCACATGAACTGCGCTCTGTAGGGAGTTAAGCAATCCTGTGGTGACTCCATGCAAATACGCCATGACCGGTGAAGTCGTTGCAAGAGAACAAGGTAGTTGTTGTTCCTCCAGGGACTTCAAATCAAGATGGTCGACGACATCTCCTTGCTATGCTTGCATGCGCATCACTAGAATCGCCGCGCACTCTTAAGACGTAAGACATTCGAGAGGAGACGTGTCTCTGTACCTATATCAATCTCAAAGTCGACTATGGGCACGGAGCTGCGCAGTGGGAGGAGGCTGCATTCAGGAGGCAACCGGTAGAAGAGTGGTCAGTTCAACAAGGCAGGTCACCAAAATGCCCATGGCAGAATTTAGGTGAGTCGGGGAAGGGGGTGATGTGACCATAAGGTGAGGATTGTACTTGTGCGATTGCGCCCCTTGTCCGTAGAGTTTGAGCACCGCTTGCCTCTCCTAGGTCTGGCTACTTTTCCTGCGATGGCGTTGGTGCCTGATATATGCTGTGTGTGCATGAGTGGATGCCAAGTTGGGAGGGCCATGAGAAGCCCCTAAACCCCTAAACCCCTAAAGCTCTAAACCCCTAAAGCTCTAAACCCCTAAACCCCTAAACCCTAAACCCTAAAAGCCCTCTCCTTCAGTCCCTAGACATGAGCTTCGTTTGCTCACCGAGTCCCGGGACTCTGCAGCTGGCCACGGGGCTGGGAGCCCTGAGACCAGGGCCAGGGCAGTGCAACTGAATAAAAAGAGAGACTTTCAAAACCTCAGGAAGCGACAACCTAAGGGTTTAGGGTTTTAGGGTTTAGGGTTTAGGGTACTATTCTGAATTCTAAGATGGGCTCTTTGCTTGGGAATTGGCCCAAGCTGGGCTGCTACAGGTCGTGCAGCTCGCCGGCGGCTTCCCGTGCCCTAGTCGGGCTCCAAGAGAAAGTTGAATTCCGAAAGGGCCTTCGATAGTTGTTTTCGGTTCGAGACGGTTTCGGGTGCAGGGTTTAAGGTGCGACATAGGGTGTAGCATTAAAAGACATGCAGGGTTCAGGATGTTGGTTTCGGGTTGAGGGTGTGGGGCTTATGGCTTATGGCTTATGCATCATATCCTTCACTCTTCTCCAGTAATATCGCAGTATAGTTATATAAATGAACTGTGAGTATAGTCATGAATATAGTAATCAACATAGCAATTCATATGGAAACTACTATAGTAACTGAGTGCATAGTCCTTAAAACCTAGTACTGCACTACAGTAATATAGTAATAGGACCCCGAGGTCGGTTTGGGGTTAAAGCCCCCAACCCCCCTAAACCCTAGAAACCTAGTACCCTTTAAAGGGGGGGGACCTTACTATCGAATATTGGGCTTCCTTTTCAAGGGGACCCTGCAGTATTTAGGGTTTAGGATTTACCCGGGGAGGGGAGCATTAACTTGCCTGCCAGCAGAGAGCCCAGGCTGCAACGTGGCATCCTTTCAGAAGGCCATCGCAAAGGCTGAAGCTACCTATGGCCTGGCCACAAGCTCAGGGCCCGCAGCAAAACCGTGGGGGCGAGTGATACGAATGAGCGGATGAAGAAGCTAGTAATAGTGGTTATAGTGATAATACCAAAGCGGTAGTGGAAGTGGTCATGGTACTGGTGATGGTAACAGTCATAATGGCAATCGTAATGGTAATCGTCATAGTCACAGTCATAGTGGTCGTAATCGTAATAGCAACAGTAGTCGCAACAGTAATAGTAAGAGTAACTAGTAATAGTAATCGTAAAAGTGCAGTAATAGTAGTGTAACTCAGACAATACTGGTAATAACAAACATGTGGCGGTCTCCTTCCTTGCAAGGTCAGCGCACCGGATGCGCTACTGGTGCGATGGGTTGAGCATGCATCTAGTACCAAGCCCGAGACTCAGCCAAAGCTTTCCGGTGTTTCTGGATTACGTGCTGTGGGCGCTTCAGGATGCATGCCGGGGTGTGGGCCATCGGCTACCTCCTGATCTGCATGGTATTTGGCAGCGTGTTCTTGTCCATGCTCGGCTCGACCGCTTGGTGCCCTGTGAACATTTGCCTACCGACAGTTTCTCGCGAAGCCTAGGGCCTAGCACATCTTGCCAGGTACTATGGCCTGGGCAAGAAGGCACCCAGCATACAAGGCTTCTTCAGTGAGGACACCAGAGAACCAGCAGGGCACCCCTCAGCGTGGCTGTCAGTGGTGCACCTCTCAAGCACCGCAAGGAGACACCAGAAGCCAGAGCCAAAAAGCAGTGAAGAAGCTCGGTGACTGTCGCCAACTGGCGACCATGTTTCACTCTGAGAGAGCGCCGCGGCATTCACAATGCCACTCTGTTGCCTTGGCTCACCCTTATGCCACGTCATTCCGCCGTAAAACAACCATCGAATGTGGGTTGTGAGGGATCGCCCGGTCGCTGTGCAAGCTCCAGCAATGCAGGCACCCGGCCGATGTGACTCCGAGAAGGGCTTGTGCCAGCCACAGACGTTACCACTGCATCAGCAAGAGCCACCCAAGGCGGTACTCTAGCCCTCCCCTCTGCTACGCAGAGACATACTTTCTAAAGGAATCAACATGATTGCGCTTCTGCGTTCAATCTGAAGGCCTACGGAGTTGAAAGAATACCGGGTAAGTGCAACTCGCATGGGTGGAAACGAGCTTCCGAACAATCCCTCCCAGCATCTACTGCCGTACGCCCATACCGCTGGCTTTGGACAGGGCCGCGGTCCCGCACAAGCAACACGATGTCCCATTGCCGAGATTATGTATCAGAATCAAAGGGTCGTTGTGCTTGAAAGAGCGTATCGTCTTGGAGTACGCCGTGGAAAGATCTCACGATACAGGTCTGCAACACCAGGTCACCAGGCATTAGACAGGTCTGCATCAAATTGTGGGTGGCGCCGCATAGGAGGCAAGATCAATGCTGAACTGGTCCCCCACAGAATCAGAAGAGTTGCATATGTTTCTGCTGCCTGGCTTTCCAGGGATAGTGTTGGCTAGGATCGGGGTGTGGTTCCTGTGTCTATTAGCGGCACTGGCGCCCGTTTCCATTACGGTGTCCAGAACTGGTTTCCGTTACTCCCCAAAGCGGTTCCCGTTACTCCCCGCACACGCAAATCCCCATCGAAACCCTGAAAGAAACCTTAAAAGAGCTTTGTAGAAACCCTTTTGTTCGGAACTCCCCTTCTCTTTGCCGAGGTGCTTCTACGAGAACCAAGTGGACGGCTACCCTTGTGACGACAATATCTTCTATACCCTCAATGACTCATGCCAGAACGGCTTTTGCGAGGGCACCGCGGATTTTTGTTTGGGGTGCCCCAAATGCATTGCACAACTTGAGGTTTTCGCACCTGCCAAACTTACAGGTACAATGTATCATGTGATCCACTGAGTTCGTGCTTGTCTGGCGGCGAGTGCATCAACCTCGGGTGCACTTCAAGAAGTCTCAAAGAAGCCGAACGGGACTCGTTTGCACCCTTAGCGAAGGTCATCCCTCTACCGGCCGCTGCACGTATGACAAGTTGCCGGACGAAACACCTTGTGGCTAGACCGCGAAGGAATAACGCAGTCTGTTTGCCTGAATTTAGTCGCCAGATGTTGCGTCTCTTTCAAGAGTCACAGGTGACGATGGGAGGCAGTTTACTGTTCAGGACCGGGTGGGTGTTCCAAAGCACCGGTAGGGGGTCTGAAGTCGTAAGTGAGTGAGTCGCTGCACAGAAGGCACATCAAGGCATCATGCTTGACCCCAGCCTCTTCTAGAGGACATGTGCCAGAATGGCCTATGCGTAGGCCGTGGCGCAGTCGATCGTGAAGCTCCCTTGATCGATGTTTCCCATTTGTTCTCTTCAGTTTTGACCCCAAGCAGGCCGTCCACAGGATCTTTGCGAGCAGCGTGGGGTGGTGTGTGAGGCCGACATCTCAAGACTGATTGTAAGTTTGTTTGTGTGATGATGGGTGTAAGTAGGCACATAAGTATGCGAGCGAGAATGCATGGATGTATGCAGTTAGGTATGCTCATGGTATGGATGTATGCACATGCAAGGTACGTATGGATGCCTGCAAGTGTATAATATATATATATGTATGTGTGTGTAACAGCAAATTAAAAATAAACAAACAAGCAAAACAAGATAACAAACATGAATATAAGAGACCGCGCCGGGCGGTTGTAACTGGACAGGCGCACACATGTGTATCCCTGACCAACGAATCAATTGCTGCATTGAATAGCGGGGGAAGCCTATTTTGATTCCTGTTGGAGCTTCATGATTGGTTTGGGCTTGTTCGGGGATCTCCCCGGTGCTTTTTCCAGTTGGCGGCTGGACACGGCTCCATAACATGTGGGGGGCGCCTAGAGCGCGGCAGGGAAGGTATAGCTCTTTGCTTATCCGGAGCCGCGTACCCGAGAGAGACAGAGAGAGAAACGTCCGAACCCTATGGTGGATGGGGTGCTCTGACGAGCGGGGGGTTGGGTCTGCCAACCCTCCTTACCCCAGAGCAAAGCAAAGCAACGAGAGAGATATGGAACCGCGGCAAGCAGCCCCCGACAGTAACAACGTCTTTTGTTTGTGCATACTCGGTCGTGGGCTTAGTGTTTGATGCAACGTAAAAGGGGGAGCTGCAGACCACAGTAAGGGGGAGCGGTAAAATGCAATAGGTCGTAGAGGGCGTGGAATGGCGCGGAGATGAGGCGGCAGGGGGCAGGATAAAGTACAGCGTGAGGGTTGGTTCCACGGCAACCGTCTGTTCCCGAAAGTAGAGACCACTGGAATGAAAGTGTTCTCCGATAGGGCCCCGCATGCCCTGCAAAAGGTCTTACGGGAGAGGCAGAGAGCACGAGAGAGAGCGATATGTGCGTATGCTGTGTAGTTCCCTGCGATTCCCTGCATCTTGGCTTGTTGCGGTGGTAGACGCAAGGCGCCGAACTGGTGCTATGATCCAGGCCGAGCTAAGGAATGAGGGGGCAGAGCGAGAAGAGTGCTTGTTGCATCCCTCTGTGCTGTGTCGGAGGCAGATGTGATCCGAAGACCGGGCTGTGCAGTGAACCAGTGGGCCTCGCAAAGCTTTGAGCTTCATGTCACGTGCAGAATGCAGGAAGTCTGTAATTGTTGTTGTTATGATTCCAGTTGTTGTCATTATCCTTAGTCGCTATGATAGTCATTATCAATAGCAGGAATATTAGCGTTTTTTCATACGGCTATTGAGTTATTCGTACCACCAGTACTAGTTATTCTTCTTACTGTGATTTCTATCAGTAACTTTATTTATTTATCAGCTATTACCGCTGTTAATTATCATCTTATTATTGTTGTTATTATCATCATTGTTAACAGTACCAGTCATCGTCGTCTTATAAAATTGTAAGTATCATCACGCTTACTATCAGTGTTACCAGTACCATATCAATGGCATATTTCCCGCTGTGTTCCTGCGATGCAGCGATCATGCCAGACACTGGCTCCTGCATATCGACCGTGCAATGATCAAGACCCCACCACAAGCAATGACTCGTGGAGCCTGCATGATTGAGAGCTTTCTGCTAGCTGCCCATGCTGCATGAATGCCCCTGTTCTTCGCACTGTGCAGGTGCATTGAAGGAGTTTGCATGGGCATGCTGGCCGACGGCTACGAGTTTGCCCGCCTTGTTTGAGAGCATACTGTGCGAATATCACTTGTTGCGCAGCATGGACCAGGATCAGAAGAGCCGTTATAGAAGCCTTACAGTAAGGCAGTAAGGACTCGACAACGAGTACAGAGTGACCGAATAGCGCCCCTCATGGTTAAGAGCCCCTACAGTAATCCTTTTGCTCCTGGCAACCAGGTATCAGACCATCGGCGCCGGCGAATGTCTTGAGCCTACGATGACCCACTGCTGTCTGCTGGGGCTGCGCTTATGCGAGCAATTGCATTGCCCAGGTGTTGATCGTGAGAATCGGCGCATGGCCCGTTATGCGGGAGATGTCAAGGTGGCTGAAGTGGGAGCAGCGCTTGAGCAGTTCTTGACATTAGAAGGATATAGGGGGTCTGTGTAGCCGAGAACGACAGAGGAAGCGGTTCCTAGTGTAAGGAAGTACCACATTGATCCTGCGCGCCTGCCGCATAAGCCAGTTCACGCTTTATGGGGTGCTACATGGCCTTGGAATGCGGATGCAGCAGCTGGCAGGATCAGCGGGAATGTGAGAGAATCTGCACAGGCAGGGTAGAGTGTGGAATTGCAAGGAAGAGTCGTTGCTTTGGAATGGTGCCTGTGCTCGAAGTGCTTTGAACTGACGGTTCAGCAAGCTCGCTTGTCCATGCTGCAAGGCGATCCGCAGTGTGCTGGATACGCATACAACTTTCCGTTGCCTGAACCTGAGAGATCCACTGGACTGCGGCTGTTCCTCTTAGCATTCTTAGCATTCTGTTACCCTACTCGTACGATGGCTACTTTGTGCTACCGCTCCCGCTGCTTTTGCTATGGTTCGTGGAACTTGCAGCTGGGCGTGGACTCGACTCATCGCATCATGGCATTGAGCAGCAGGAACGTCCAGCTCAGGTGTAGCATCTACGGCACGGTGCGCACAAAAATTCCGATGGAAATGCCGACGTGGTCTTTCCAGGCCCCCCTCACTAGACACGACGAGCTCACTCATGGCTCATGGGGCCTGCCTTTTGACGAATTGCCTGAAGGCGGGCACGGACCCCTTGGGTGTCATCATCGAAGCTTCGCAGGTGATGACAGACGTGCACCTTGGCATTGACAGTGCATGACCACCGAAATGGTTTCGAAGGGGCACTCTGCTGGTACCAAGGCAGAGACGCTCGATCTGCCGGAGGAAAGGAGTGGTGCCGGATCTGATTGTGTCGCCTTCTGACGTCGAGGTGGGCGTCTACAGTGGAGCCTGCGTCTTCAACGTCTCTGTTCCCACGGAAGGTGTCAGCGGACGAGTTCTTTTCACCGGTGAGGCTTTCCGGGAGAACTTTCAAGCGGTGAACCAACACAACAGGTAACAAACTCTTCCCCTGAGCCCCCGGCCGCAGGATCGGAATCTTCTTCCTGGTGCTCTTGGGCTGCTTCTTTGCCTTGCAGGGGTGCCTGGACTCCTGAGATCTGTCGCAGGGCATGGGGAAAGGGGCAGCTCCCTGGGTCGCTGCTGGGATCTTACATGAGGGATCTGCGTCGGAAGGCCCCATAGAACCGGGGCCCTGGTATTTCAACAAGAGCCCTAAATTGGGGTTTGAACAAGTTTCAGAGACTCAATTCCCCTCTGTACCTAGATAGGCTGCGAAGGAAGTAGACTGCAACGGAGCACGGCTGACTCAATGGTGGCGCGGAGCTCGCCCTAGAGTGCATCCCACCGAAAATGAAGCGCAGCATGAGGTGTTTCGGTTGCTTGCAATCTGTTGGTGCACCGGTGGTGGGGACCTCAAGGCCCTCTCCCAGGCTCCTCCTGTTCGTAGTGTAGGAAGGTCCTTCTACTAAGCAGCAGTGTGGGAAAAAGGCTCGGAAGAAAAGGACCTGGGCGGTTGCAGGGCAGTTTGACATTCCAAGGCCACTCACGGACTATATCTCCAGGCTTCTGAAATGCAGGCACGCCGTGTCCTGCTCAATTAGATTATACTGTGTACCATTTTACTGCAGAGTATCTGGCACGCTTCATATTAGCTGCAATTGGCGCGGTCTGCTTGCTATCTTCGGATGTGCTCGAACCGCAGAGGGTGCATTTTCAAGCTTCAACTCCGGCTGAAGCCGCTCAGGAAGGATCCTCTCGAGGAGATTGCTTCGCAGGCCATCCTGGGATGTTGCAAAGCCCTCCCTCCCACTAGAAATCCAAATCTACCCTTGTCTCCTGCTCTTTCCTGCCTTACCCTAAGATGCCTGAACAAACTCAATCTCTAATCTTGATGCCTTTGTCTATGGGCTCACACTGCAGCACGTTTAGGCACATGGGATTGAACCCCTTAACCCTAAACCCTAAACTCCCTAAACCCTAAAAAAACCCAAACCCTAAACACTAAGCCGCTTCGCTTCGGCTTACTGCCCAACGCGTGGTTCCCGCCAACCCAGGTCGCCCAGGATCCGGCGCAGTATGATGAAAGTCCCCACACTGAGCAAGTGCCCCAGATCGGAGACATCATAGGTTGTTCTTTTAAATTTAGGAGTTTGGGGCCTCATACCATGCTGCCTGAAAGGAAGGGGTACGGCGAAGATCAGCTTGCCCTCGAGCAGGACCCGCGTGTTGCACCTCGCTCTTGCAGCAGGCACAAGACAATTACTGTACAGAAGAAGGTAATTTTTGCTTTGCAGAGATGGAAAGCAGCATGTCGGCAGCACAGCCAATTGAAGCCGTCAGCAGGAGGAGTATCCGGGATTGGAGGGCCTTCGAGACACAGCCAACGCCGACGATCCCGTTCTGCCGAACGAGGCGCTTGATTTTTGTTTCATTTGTTCAGATGGATTCTTAGTACCCTCCTGACAACTCCAATGCCACTACCTGTGTGTGGCGCCGACCAACACAGAAATTGCTACCTTCCTACCAGTTGCCACACTGCAGCAGGGAAGTTGTGAGTTTCAGGGTTTTCCGGGTCAGTTTCGGTGTTGAGTTCCGGGTCTCAGTTTCGGGTCCGGCCCT